AAGCAAGCTGCTACTCCAGCTTCGTCTGCATGACTTAATGCTTCATCTAAATTTTCAGAAAGTGGTGGGGACCAAAGAAAATAAAACTTCCAATCCAATACAGGTTAGCACTGATATTCAGATGTTTCTCATAAATTAAACCTTTGCTTTCCAAGCAAATGCCACTGTTTACACTGTGATCCCACGTTTGACCAGCAACTGCATTTGCTCAGAAAATGCAGCAGCTGATACACCATTCCAGTAACTATGCAATTTTACTCCTGAAGTCAGAAAAGAAAAAGTTGCTTTGGGGACAAGTCCTATCTATCAAACCTCTAGTGAGAGAAGAGGACACCAGTGGAAAACGGGTGCCGTTGGCTGCCACTCAAATGCAGTTTTTATTCAAATACAGCACCTTTCTTTCTCATTACATTTCTGAAACTGCTGTAATGTCTGCAGCACAACAGAGATCTTCAGGTTTTTAGATTCATCCAAGCATTTAACATCAGCTTATAGCCATATAAAACTTCCTAGTTACAGCAGAAAAAAACTGCACAAGTAGAAACTCAGAATCTTCAGGAAGAAAACTGAACTCCAGTAATAGCCAGTTGTGGGTAGAACAAAGTTAATGGTCTAGTGAGTAGAAGCCCTAGCTACATCACCCATGTGGCACACCAGGCACTCTGAATCAAGTGAACGCGTCTGACGTGCTTTCCTCCAGAGCCGGGGAGGTCACCGTGCGCTCTGCTGAACTCGGCCTGCATGGAAGGCGCTGGTTTCTGAGCAGCAGGCAGGAAGCTAAGCTGCCCCAGGAGCGAGGTGGAGAACGGCATCGCAAAGGGGAGGGGAAGTAGCACAAGATCACACGCTTCATCAGGGCAGTAACTGGTATTTACATGATAAAAAAAAAGACTACCCAAGAACTAACGTTCTTTCAGGTGAGAAAGGCCAGAGCTATATAAACACCTCAAATAGCAAATGAAAACCAGGGACATTTTATCTTACTGCAAGAAGGACACAAAAAGGAATCACAGAATCACAGAATGGCAGGGGTTGAAAGGGACCTCTGTGGGTCACCCAGCCCAACCCTCCTGCCGAAGCAGGATCACCTACAGCAGGCTGCACAGGACCGCGTCCAGGCGGGTCTTGAATATC